AGTTGAAGATGATGCACATCAAATGGTGGTAATGCATTAGTGACTTGATACTTGATCCAATGATGTGGTAGTTTGACGAGTTGGTTTAGTTGGGACTTGGTGCTGGAGGTTATCACAGAGTGAGGATCATGGTTGCATATGTAGGATGGTAAAGGCAAGGTACAGTAGGAGAGTAGTTAGGGAATAGAGGGTTTTGAATATATTGAGAAAAACACCTTTAACATTTCTTTATTTTTGTATTTTTGCCAATTAATAGTGGCTTAATTTCATTGAATCTGAACTTGTCCTTGGGCTTCGTTATATGGGATGTTCCTTTGTTGTCTTGCTATAATGTAACCAACCCTTGGTACTTCTGTTTAGATAATAAGCTGAGGATGTTCTTTTAAGACATCATGGTTGTTGGACAAAACTGTTTGTCTATGTTCTCCTTTTAAAACTCAGGAAAAAACTTTCTAATTGTGCAAAGACAGGTTTGAAATGGCTCTATGTTAAGCTAAGTTGCTTTCTGCATTGCCCGCAGGTCAGATTTTCCTCGACTTGGAAGCCAAGGCAGTCAGGGAAGCAAAAGTACCCCAATCAAAGGAACTCCTGGAAGGTCATTGAATCGGCAGAAGTCTAATGGTGGTAGGCCTGGGGAGTATTCAGTTTCATCATCATCACCTGCCTCTGCTCAATCGTTGGGAGGGAAGAACGCCTTGACTAAGCATTCTGGTAAACCACTATTGGAACAATTTTATTTTATATTTTTCTATCTTAAAAAGGAATTGGGAGAATGAATTAGCTTTTTTCACCGTACTCTGTTTCAGAGGCAATGGACTTCAAGGAATGGTGTGAGAGCGAGTGCTTCAGACTTCTTGGGTCAAAAGGTTTGTATAAGTTGCTGTGTAATAAGCATTAAATTGCCATTTTAATTAGATTTTATGCTGATCATTTGTTCCATTTTTTCTAGATACAAGTTTCTTGGAATTTTGTATAAAGCAATCAAGGGCGGAAGCTGAAATTCTTCTAATAGAAAACCTCGGCACCTTTGATCCCAACCGTGAGTTCATTGACAAGTTTCTAAATTACAAAGATTTTCTTTCTACGGATGTTATTGATATCGCCTTTAAAGCACGGAATGACCGAAAAGCCACTGCCTCGGTTGTGGGAGATATGACTTCCGACTATGTTGGCACCGGGGGCTCCAACCATGGTGGTGTAGATTCTACTGATGGGAACCCGAAAGGAGGCAAAAAGAAGGGGAAGAAAGGGAAGAAGGTAAGCCCATCAGTGCTTCAATTCAACGTAGTTAGTAACCGAATAATGATGGGGGAAATTCAGACAATTGATGATTAGGTATTTAGTGGGAAATTGTAAATATTTTCTACTAAGATTGTTGCTTTCTAACCGAGGATTTTTTTTATTCCTCCTCGTAGCAACTGCTGCAGTCAATTTGATCTGCTAGAGCAATTTTGTCAAGTTGCCGTAAATGTAGGTCTTGTTATGCTGACTGAAGCATTTGAGTTTGAGCGATGATTCACGTACATTTGAGTTTTAACTGAAATATGGAGGTAGTTTTCTTTAGGGTTGGATTCATATATTTTTATTTATTGGAATCAAATTGTTTTT